AAAAAAAAAAAAAAACCTGCCTCCTCAAACACACTTGAGATTCTCCTGAATCAGTGGGGAGAAGGATACAACCAGTCATATTCTCTTTCCAGAAAGAAACTTGGGTCATTTTCCATAATAACCTCCTCCAGATATCTTTTTTCTGCTTTTTTTTTTTTCTTAGCTGGCTTTCCTTTTGATTTTATTTTTAACTGTCCCCTTTTATATTGTGTTTAACTTTGTAGCTTGTGGATCCATCATTTACGAGCTGAGTGACCATGGAAAGGTTATTTAACATCTAAAGCTCCACTTTCTTAATCTGTCAAATGAGAAACGCTGTGGACACCAATGACACTATCATCCCAGCATCACTTTTTAATAACCACTCCTCTGCTGCATCCGTATTCCTTAGGGGCCATACAAGGGACCAACCCTCTAAGCACTTAGATTAGTCTAGAAGTGGATATCTAATTCAAGCTGGACCAGAGACACGTGCCAGGAATTCTGGATTTAGGACTAGGGTCAAGTCAATTTCCTTCTAGTAGCTGAAATTATAAGACATAAATCTCAGGAGTTGCTAGTGGCTGTTTCCCACTTATGAAAGAGCTGGACCACAGTGAAAGAAAAGAATGACGCTAAGACGCAGGGAGGAAAGGGGGGCTAACGGTTCTGTTGGTCCCAGGTTCCTGTTCTTCCTGTAGCTGGCTGTTCCATTAGCCCACTATCTTTCCAATTAATTCTGCTGTTTGCATCCATAATTTGGGTTTGATTTCCATCACTTGAAACCAAAATAGTTCTAATATGTAGAAAATAATCCCTACTTTGAAAAGTTGTTATAAAAAGTAAACGAAATAAAACAATTAAGTGCCTAGCATATTACCTTGCAAGTAATACATGCTCAAGAAATGATAACTATTAATATTTAGAAAATGAGAATAAAAATTCTAATTCAATTAATTAATGAACACAATTTTAATAGCTCACAAATATTCTTTCTTCTTGCAGTTTCAAAATCACTCAAAGTGGTTCTTTGCTTCTGGATCTTGAAAGAATTGCAAAATAAGAGAAATGCTCTGAATTAATCTTGCTACATATTATTGTATAAGTCTAAGTGATTCTTATATAGTTAAACAATCTTAGAGAATAGTGAAACTTCAGACTCAGTAACCCACCATTTTTTGCTTAACTCACTAGTCTGCAGTAAACAAATAGAGGGAAAGTGGAAAAAGAATGCAGACTTACATTCCACTTATCCCACATATACAAGAACAAGTCTGACACATTTAAATGTACAAAATACTGAACTGGCTGCATTCACAGCAGTCTTCACATAGTACGAGGCACACAGTCTAGTAAAGAGAAAATGGAACCACACACCTGTAGAGAGACCACACTGACATTATCAAAATGGATGTGTCCATTAGGCTCAGTGACAGCTGGATTTGCATAGCAAGTCACACCGCTGATGGCAGGTAATGCTTTAGGTTGATGAGTTTTTTCTTGAGAAGGACCAAAGTCATCATTTCCAAAGTGGGTATGATCATTCTACATGGAACAATAACAAAATGAAGAGGTTGTAAGAAGGAAAAAATATGGCTCATACAGACAAGAAAATAGAGAGCTTAGTGCTTTTAATTTATAAGAAAAAAATCTTATGTCTATTCTATGTGTAATGTAATCTTTTTAGATTTATAAAATTTCTCTCCCTTTAAATCTATCCTCATTTATTAGATTCTTTTGTTTCTGTTTTTTCATGTTAGGGTACAAATATCTTCTTATTTTGATGAATATGAATGGAATACAAGTTATGCACATCTGTTATTCAATGTTAAATTGTTAGCACTTATTACAAATTCTGCAATATTAATCAAGTGTTTCTCTTATACTTATCAATATATCGACTCTCTTCTTTCTTCTCACATTCATAAGCCTAATAATTGGACTGTTCACATAATTCTAAGAACAAATTCCTGTCTTTATTCACCTATATAAAGTATGTTTAGTGGGTAACATATCAGACGTTTTAAATAAAGTCCATTTACCTGACCATATGTCTTTAACAACATCTTGAGCATTCTTTCAACAAAGAAAAGTATGTAAAATCCACCAAACACAGCAACTGCTTTCTCAACATAGTTGTCAATTTTGGGATTGAATCCAAATGCCTGAGAGAGAGAAAAAAGGCAATTCAGGTAAAACCAAATAATTTTAACTCGATTTCTAGAAACTAATACCAAAATTTCTCAGTACACAATTTTCACCAAAGTTCTAAATCCATCTTCACATTCAAGTAATACCGGGAACTTACCTGCCAAAATCACAAAACAAAAACTCTGAATTTGAGCAACCAAACTGAAAGAGATGGCATAGAAGTTTTACAACCAGAGGAGATTCTATTAAATGAAGCCCCCAGAATATCTTATAGTTTCCTAGCTATAACACCATCAGCAATATTTACCTTGAAAGAGTAAACTTTGAGTAGTAAAGCAGCAGCATTGATTTCCACATTTATAAGATAATATCAGATCTAGGTAATGAAGATAAATGAGACATTGATTATCCATTTTCTCTAAAAGTAATATATCTGCCCACCATATCCAGAGTCAAATTTTTAAGGCAAATAAGGCAGGCCATTAGATTACTGCTTTCCCAAGAGAGATCCTCTTGAACCTAGAGCATCCTGATGAGTCCTAAAGAGATAAATAAATCAAGCCCTGGGCCCAAGAATAAAGAAGATTTAAGATACTAGGCTCGCTCACACACACACACACACACACACACACACACAATGATAAGAATGAAATAATTCATTGTTTAAAGGACATAGGGCAAGAGCTGGAGTTTGAAATTATAAAGTGTCAAGATGTTCCTAACAGACAAGAAACAGAAACTTAAAATAAATAAATAGGAGGAGAAAGTAATATGTGAAAAGCCACAGTGTTACACCATTCTACACATTGCAAACCTCCCCTCTGAACAGCAGTCTAGAACAGAGGGTTCCTGGGTTCTTGTTCTGCGTCTGTCTCTAGGGGAGACCTCATGGCCACATCTTCATTTGAGTGACTTCTCTGTGCCTATTTTACAGTGCAAAAATGGCATAAAAATAGCGACTGTACATACTAACACAAAGGTTATGAAATAGCAAAAGGGAAGAATTTTGCCAAAAAAAAGAAATAACTGTCTATGTAACTTTGAGGTATTATTACAAAGACAGATTCTTTAGTGTTTACATAATTCTCTGATCACATCCATAGTTCTCTAATTATCACAGAAAAGCAAAAGAATATCCATAAATGCTGTTGAAAAAGTTTCTCATTTTCCTGATAGACATGTCTTATGTATTACTACATTTTCAATAAAATAGAAAACCTCAAAATCATAAATGTGGAATCTCCAGTCCACATACAATATCAGTTTGTCTAATTTAATTTGACCCACAAATCAGATGACTGAATAGATACATATATAATATTATATTATATTAAATGTATTACATGTATAATATTACATGTAATAATTTTTTAATCAGAAAATCTGTATTGTCATCCTAGCTTTGTCACTGGCTGCTTGTATGGCTATAATCAACTCATTTAATCCCCCTGGATTTTAATTTTTTTCATCTCTACAATCGAGAGTTTGAAGTAGATGTTCTCCTAGGTCCTTTCTAGATACAGTAGCAATAATAATTATAATCATAAATCTAAGACTCTAAGAAGTTATATCCCCATTTTCATATATACCTGTGAAAACTAAAAGAAGCTTTAGTTATAATTTTCTAGAAGTTATGAGATGAGAGCAGTACTCCTTCTTTGTTGGGGTCTTGCCCCTCCCTCCTCCTTTGTGCCTGGAGGGGACACAGCCCACGTGTGCATGCATTTCTCTACTTCTCCTCTGTGGCTCCCTCCTAAGAACGTCTCTTTCTCTTCCCCTTCTCTTTTCCTCTCACTTATTTTCCGCCCTCTGTCTCTCTTCCTTATATGGCCACAATATAGATTTGAAATAAAACATATATATTATTTGTTGATTAATTGAATAGCTCACTATAGTCAATGTCAGATCAATAACACATTTTATCAAAGGAAAAAAAGAAGCTGCTGTTTATCTATTGGTCCTCAATTGACTTTTTTTTCACAGTCAAAAAAAATGAAAAGGTTTGCCAACCAGCCTCTAATTTATCCTCTAGTCTTTTATCACTGTAGTAAATATGAGGGAATTCTGTGGTATATCTTCAGTAAATTTGATATTGCATGCTCTTTAGAAAAAAAATATAAATACTAAAAATGTGTAGAAAAATTAAATTTGCCAAATGTGAGACAGAATAAAGTGTGAAGGCCCTCGCAGGCGTAGCAGAGCCATCTGAGTGCGGCCTGGTGGCTGGCCTCCCAGAACTCTGATCTCATCTCCCACACTGACAACCGCCGCAGCTCGGGGCAAGCTTTCTCATTTGCTGTGATTCAGCTTTCTCTTACCCAAAACACCATAAACCAGACCATAAAATGCTGTGAGAATTATGGAGGCTTAAAACATTTAAAAGAAACAATTATTCACAAGAACAAATAGTCAACATCCTTACCTCTGGAATAAGTTGGAAAATTGCATTTGAAAACAGAGTTCCGATAGCCAGCCCCACAAAATAGGTCAAAATCTTAGGGAAATAAGATTTCTTTATCAGTGGAGTCAAAATCATGCCGAGGAGCGATGCCAGGTTAATAATTGTCACTGACAGGAATCCATATCCCCAAACTGGATCAGAGGGGAAAGAGTAGAAATTAATCAAAGGAGCCAAATGAAGTCTTACACTTGAAACAAATTTCTTCTTTAAAAGCTTGAAATAGATATCTTCTTTAAAACAAGAAAATAGTCTCAATGAAAATTATATAGAAAACCAAGAACATAAGTATAGCATAATAAATATTAAAAGTAACACTGCCTATACTTTCGTCAGTCCTAAATCATCACATTGGGATCAAAGAATTTTACAGCTTGCAGGGAATTTGGAGAACATCTAAAACAGTGACAAACAATCTGAGGCCCACAGGCTCCAAGCCACTGGTTTCATCTACGGCTCAAGGCCTAGTTTAAAACCCAGCCTTTCAGAGGAATACAGAGGCAGCGTGAGTTTCAGGGCAAAGGTACGGAATGATGGGTGGAGAGCAGGGGTGGAAATGGGTGGGGTGAGTCGGCTTCAAGACGACCACAGCTGCTGACACAGAGCTTGTCATAACCACTGATCTGAAGGCGCCTGTGGAAACCACCTCCTGGGGAAGGCAGCACCTCAGCCCCTGCTGGGGCCTCCAGGGAGCCCAGGGCAGGGAGCCCTCAGGAAGGAGCACACAGGCGGGAAAGAGGGGCTGTATTGCCCAGCTCACCCTCTGGGCCCAGATTAAGGCAAAAATATCCTACATAGTGGAGACCCTGGTGACAGAAGGAGGTGGTGCATCTCTCATCTCTCTATCCCCAGGATCGGGCACCCAAAAGGTGCGTAATAATTCATTGCCTAGAATGAAATGAACAAATGTTACCCTAAGCTCTACCACTAAGGGCACGTGTGACCAATTGCCTTTGGGCCTCAACTTCCCCCTTGTTATCCTAGAGGGGTTGGTGTAAAGACACAATGGGAAAGCGAGTGAAACACACTGTGTGAACACTGGACAGTCCCGGACGGCAGCGCAGGCTGACATGCAGACTGGCCCCCGCAGCTGTACAATGCATGGCTTTGCCTGTGGCCCCACACCTTGTGCACAAAGGACAATGTGAAAGATTAGAAAGCTGCCCCTGTATTGGCACTTCTTTAAAATGCCCAGAAATCATTCTTAGATGTTGGGCCACTTTGCTCACTGACACCATCAGCAAAGTACCATATAACCTAACGCCTAGCAAGTGTGGGCCATGAGCCAGGCACTGTGCTAAGCAACTAACATGCAATAATTCATTTGACCCTCACAAAACCCTCTGAGGTAAGTACTACTATCACCTCCTTCACACAGCTGAGGAAACCAAAGCATATGGAGTTCAAATGAGCTGCCCAAGTCATGTGGATAGAAAGCGGAACTTTGAACCCAGATAGTCTGACTCCAGGGCCCATATTTCTTAGCAATATGCTTCATGACTCCTGTAGAGGTCATCTAGTTTTTAAAAAGCCCAAGGGACTCAACAAAACTGTAAACACTTTATATTGTGCTCCATGAATACAAGAGTGCTTGCCATTGTTCTAGTTCAAGCAATTCTATCTACAAATAAATAACCTTAGCAAATGTTTATGGAGCCCAGGATGTGGACCAAACCGTGCACAACAAGGAGTCTGCCAACAAGGAGCTTGGATCTTTTGTTTGGAGAACTGGGAAATGTGCAGCCAACACCTACACAAGGCACTGCAAGGTAGCCTGTGCTAAGTACCCAATGAAAAGCACAGACAATAAATGTTACTATGTGACCACAAGAATCATGAGAGCACTGACCACAACTTTATCATCTCTAGACACTTTCCTATGAGTCCCAGACTCCTAACCATGCCCTACGAAGTCATCTCATTGGACCTACAAAGATCTACCTCATTCCCATTTATTACCTTATCACCTAAAACAATACTACCTACCCCCCTCAGACTTTCCACTTAAGGAAAGTTCTCAACCCCACGTCTTCCGCCATGGTATACCTATGTGTAGTTTCCCTTAACCCAAACAGCCTCCATCCCATCACCAGCCTACATGCATTCACTCATTCAACAAGTATTTATAATCTCACTGGGTAGACAGGATACATACATGTTGACTAAAAGAAAAATGCAAAGAAGTTTTTGAGTATCACATACAGGCAAAGCCACACACACACATTAAACTCATCACCTTCCCCTGAGAAATCCTGCTCCACTACCCTTGTGCACTATCTACAGAAACAGCAGAAACATCAGGATCAATTTCAATTTCTCACTCTTGAGACAGAGTCAGTTCCAAAGACAATTGGTGACCAAACTCTATCAATTCTGCTTGAGATATTGCTCACTCCAGTGTCTCCAACCCATTGCCTGTGCCTCGACTCTCAGGCTCATCATCTGATACATTACAACAGCTTGGCCACCAGACTTATTATCCTAAAATATAATTCTGATCATCTCATGCCCCTATTTGAAACTGTCCTTCATAAACGGACAGCTCTCCAGTGTTATTTACCCCTTTCTCAACATGGCCTTTACGCAGACACAGAGTTTTCCAAATACAGAGTTACCTTTGCACTTGTGGTTCCTTATCTGGAAATATCTTCATATCTTCACTGCCCAAGGAACTCACACATGGCTCTCCAAGCAACTCACTGACCTCCTCCATGAAGCCTTCCCGTAGCAATTTGTTTGAAGGTAATTGGGTCGCTTACCATTTCTTGTGTGCTACAGTAATTTTATCACTTATATATTTGTCTATACCACACAAACTATGAGATTTTCAAGAGAGAGGCTATGTTTTATTCATCCTCAGTGCCTAGACTATTGCCCAGCAAATAGCACATATTCCTTGATGAATGAATTAATGAATACCTTAATTCAAGTTGCAGCCCAGAACTCTGTCAAAAATATACCAATTAATTTGCTTACTCAATCTTTCTAACCTTCCCTACTATTGTGCATATTTATCAGAACCACTTGGGGAACTGTGGGAGTGAGTCATCACAGTCCAAGTACACTGCATAGTCTCCCCTTCTTGTATTGTTAGGACATGATTCAGAAAAAGAAGATCCATGCGTCCACTCAACTTGGACACCAAAGATTGAATTAGTATAAAAATATTCCTTGGACCTCTCCATGTACACATAGGACTCCCTCTAATGATCTGTTTCAGAGAGGATTCTTTCTCTTTGCTTCATAGTGAACTTGAAAAGATTTTAATAAATTTCCAAGGAATATTTGTTAACAATAGCTAATATTTATTGAATGCCCACTATGTGCTAAGATTCTTCTAAAAATTTCACCTATCTTAACTCATTTCATCCTCCTATTTCATAGTTTTTACAAGAAAAAAATAAAACCAGTTAATGTAGTTCCTGGAATATAGTAAGTCTTCAATAAATGTTATTTTCAAAAAACATAAATTACTAAGTAGACCATCAAATAAATTTTACTCCATTTAGCTCATTGTTACACAGTGAATGGACAACAAACCAGGGGTGGGAGCCTGGGCTCTGCTCCCTCCTCAGGTCCTCTACCTCGAGGACGGCACTGAACCTCCCTGGAGCTTGACCTATACCTCGGTTGCATTACAGAGTGGACAATGTGATCTCCAGGGATGCTACAAGTAAAATTCTATTATTCTTACCTATTATTTGAATTAAACAGCATCTGTGATCTCCTCAAAAAAAATGAGGCAACTTAATTAATTTATCTCCTAGAGAATTTCATTGACCATCAGTTCGCTGTACTCATCAATATGAGTTTATAAAGCTCCTGAAAGGCAATTTCAAAATCACAAAATGTGAGGTCTCTCATAAAGGAGACTATTTTTCTGCCCACTGAAACATCAGCGTAAACGTGTTCATAAAATCCTTGTATCATGACTACTTTGGATTACTTTCATTTCAGTTTTTCATTCCCTTGAATGAGCTCAGAATTGACTCCATATTAAGCGAACAGTTATGTCAAGAATCTAGTACATTTCATTATTTAAAAAATCATCTCTTTATGGGAAAAAAAATAGGCTTACACAGGGGCCAGGGGATGGAGTGAACCTATGAACACATGAGTAAGAAGAGGGAAGTCATACTCTTCCTACTCTGTGCCAGGCCCTGGTCCAGGCCCTTGCATATATTAAGTCATTTGATACCCCCAACAATTCTATAAGGTAGGGACTACTATTATCTCCACTTTACAGAAGAGGTAACTGAGGCACAGACACATTAAATAAGTTGCTAAAGATCACACGGCTGCACTAAAATAGAACAATTAAGATATTACACCAAGTAAAGGAATATATTGTCAACTTAAACATCTTAGAATAGTAAGAACAAGTACTCTACTAGTTTCTCTAATTCTCCAGAAACTTTTCTATATCTTCTCCCACCCCACCCCACCCACTCCAGCCCATTTCAATTCCTAAGACAAAGAGGTATTTCTTTCTTTATTGGGTCCTCTGTCCAAATATCTGGTGCCTTTCTGATCTTGTAACTTACAACTGTTGATTTTTCCATTTTATGAGTTTGCAGTGTGGACCTTAGAATTCTCTCACTTCCTGCTTCCCACTTCCTTGTTCACCTCCTGGCTCCCGAGATACAGTAATTTGGGAATTACGGTTAAAAACACTTTTGAATATCAGTAATTAACCTGCACAGAGTAGGGGATTTGCTTTTTCTGAAGCCTCACCTCCTGTACCGAGAATTATGTACGTTAGACACTTTTATTTAACAGACACATATGGTACCTAACTACATGCCAGAGAATGTTCGCAATGCTTTACAAATAGTAAGTTATTTAATCCTTATAGCAACCCTATAAGAAAGGTACTATTTTAAATGAGAAAACAGAGGCAGAAAGACATAGTCATGTGCCCAACATAGCTCAAAAATTACGGAGCTGGGATTTGAGCCCAGGCTGGGTTGACTGCAGAATCTATGCTTTTACTATGCTATTCTATTAGCAAATGTTAGTATAGAAAGCATTTGCTGAATTTACTTTTGAACATAAAGTGCAAACTGGATGAAAGTTAAACAGACTCATAGAAATATAAACATACTCCAGCAAAAATAATTGCTGAAATTAGTGTTATTCACAAAATAGCTAATTATATTGATAAGCTCTGGTTGGTGATTTCTATTCTTTGTATATGTAAATACAGAATGTAAAAGAGAACATGGGTTCTGAAGGTGAGACAGCCTAATTTTCAACCCGGCTCTACCATATAAAAGCCGTGTAATCTTGACCAAATGACTCTAAACTCTCTGTAACTCAGTTTCCTCGTTTGTAAAATGAGAATAGTAGTTCCTACATCACGTAGTTGTATGAAGATTAAATGAGTCAACTTACGTAAAGCACGTGGAACAGCACCTGCCATATAGCAAGTGCCACCTAAGAGTTGACTATTATCATTATTTTTGTCATTGTTGCTGCCATCCCTGTTGTTCACATACAGAGAGCTCAAAGTATTCATATATACATACAGGAATCCAAAAGTTCATAAAATAGGCGCTTCTTTGTTGAGGCTCTCCTTTTCTTCTCTATTTTTACTCTCTTTATATGCTCTATCCATACTCATATTAGATGAGCTCACTCAGACCAGTGGCTTCAAATGCCATCGCCGAGATAACAGATTTCCAGCCTCGACCTATTCGCTGAGCTCCAAATGTGTGCATGCCACTGCCCACTTGACATCTCCCCTTGTGGGTGTACATCAATGGCTTAAGCTGATCACATCAAAAATTATAGTCTTGATCCTTGCCACTCTCTTCCTCCACAATAAACTGCTCCTCCTCAGTCTTCTCCATCCCGGGAAATGGTGCAACCATCTATCCAGTTTCTCTGGCTCAGACCTTGATTCATCTTTCCCTGCCCCACATCAAATCCAGAGGCAAACCATTTTAGCACAGTCTCCAGAATCCATCCTGAATCTGACCACTCCTCCTCAGTTCTACTTCGTGCACCTTAGTCCAAGTCCCAACCAGCCTGAGCACCAACTCCTGGCAACAGCCTCCTGACCAATCTGGGTGCTTCTACTCTTACCCCACTACAATCTATTCTTCAAACTGTAGGTAGAACGATCTTGTACAAATCCAAATAAAATCATGTCACTCCCCTGTCTAGAACCCTACAGTGTCTTCACACTACATTCAGAATAAAATCCCATCAATTTACCACACCTGACAAGGCCTCTGGCTACCTCCAGGATATCATCTCCTTCTAGTCTCCCTCCTGCTCATTATGCTACAGACACATGGACTTTCTTGCTGCTCCTCACACATGCCAAGCTCGTTCTCAAATTTATGCTGGCTGTTCCCTCGACTGAAAATTCTCTTCCCCCAGAGAAGACCTTGCCATGGCCTTCTCTTTCTCCTCAGTCAGGACTCTGTCCAAACGTAATCTCATCAGAGAGGCCTCCCTTGACCCGTCCAAGGTCACACTCACCCACTGTCTCCTTCTATCCCTTACCTACCTAATTTTCCTCATAGCCTTCACTACTCCGAAATTATATTATTTACCTGCTTGGTTATATAAATGTTTATTATTTCTCTTCTCTACTATATTGCAAGCCCTAACAAGCAGAGAATTTTTCTTCTTGTTCACTACTGAACCCTCAATACATAGAACAGTGCTTGGCATGTCATGCCATAAATATTTATTGAATAAAAAATGAACAAAAAAATGAGAATTAAAATACCCATGTGGGGCAGGGTAACAATTTAGGAATACCAAGAAATTGCACATAGCTAGCAAATGGTTTATCTCATTTGTGAAAAGACCTCTTCTACATGTTTAAGCATGTGAACTATACAGTAAGCACACATTTGTTTTCTTATATTTTAAAATTTCTTCGCAGTAGATTATTCCTTTAAAATGCAGTATCTATAGCAGTATTATTATAAGCACTTAAAAAAGTCACTAGCATTTTCTTTCATTTATGAAAATTAAAGCAGCAATAACTCAGTACCTGAAGATTTAATCTAGAACCATGCTAGTTCCCTTATCCCTTTACTGACAATTACAGACAAAATTGACAGATTTTAAAATAATATGATAAGCACAAGGTAATGGAAATTAACTGATCAATTATGAGCCAAATAGTTAATGCAATCCAATATGCACAGCATAAAACATTTATTGTTTAAAATCAAGAAGTGAGTTTGAAAGTTTGTAAGCGGTACCAAGTATAATTTTGATTCCACAAATAGAAGAGCATAACTTACTAAACTTTAAATGAGTTCTAATTATTCTTTTTTTTTTTTTTTTTTTTTTT